CGGTCAGAAAGGTGATTTTTTTTTTTTGAGATTGTTTGTGAATATCAAGATAGAGCTTATATGGCTCTGATACCAAATGTAAGACTGAAAATCGTTCCAAAACAATTGTCCGGAAACAAATTGGATCGAAAAAACTGAAAACTCGTGGATGGAGTTCATACCTTCGGCCATTGATATTGCTCTAGAAGCATTCCTTTTATCTTTTGATTCAGATAATGATACTCTTAAACTTTCAACACTCTGAAATTGATGGTGTATAATGTATTTTTGGTGGTGGAGCTTAGGGACCAAACCGATGAAGTTATGGTTTTAGTTTCCGATTTTTCAATCAATGGTGAAATTCAAGATATAAGATGTACATTGAAGTTTCTCATTTGAGACCTGTGGTGCCAATTTCAGAGTGTGTTCGAGCCATCCCGTGTGACTTATCAAGCGACAAGGCTGGTCGGTGTCATATGCTCGGTTGCCTGCTTGTCGAGCTCTGTCTTGAAGTAGGTAACTACCAGGCTGTTTGCCCGAAGTAGATTGGTTTAGCTGCTAGCACAAATTTTAAAAAAAAAGGGCTCGACAAGGCTAGAGCTTAAAGCTCAAGCCAACCTCAAATTTTCAATCGGGCTATGGCTTACCTCGGCTCAAGCAAAAAAAAATCAAGCCATTTTTTGCCCAGGGCATGCCCAGCCACGATCTTTGGCTCGCGAGCTGTCTCGATCAGCTCGTTTACATCTGAAAGTTTCAAATTAATGTTTTATTTAGACCCGCGTGCGGATTTAACCCATTAAAAGCAACAAGTCATTTATTAATTATTTCTAGTTGATTAAGTCAATTAATCTAATTTCGCCATATGTTTGAATATCACGATAAATCAAAAACAGTAAATAAATAAGAACACTAAAGATGATCACAAAGAAAAATGCTTCGCAAATTATCAAAAAATTCCTGGCCCAAGTCAGTAAAATCCACTATAGATGTTCAAGAAAATATGTTCGTTTTGTAAATCATCGCAAGTGCACGGTTCGTTAACAAGTAATAAAGTGGAAATTGTAAAATTTCGAGTATCGTTCCACGAGGATTGATTTTATTTTATTTCTATTATCAAAACCTTAACCGAATCTATTAAACTCAAGATGGTTGGACATTTGAATTTTATAACTAAACTATG